AGGTAAGCAACTACCTGAGCTTCAGTCGGGAGGATACCGACGAGCAGAAGAAGGCGGAGCTGGGCGGTGTGGTGACGGTAGGGGAGCAGATATGGGTCAAGGTGCGCGGGTGGGCGGGCGGGTGGGCGGGAGGGTGGTGTCCATGGGTGTGTTTGTGTGTGTGTGGGTGGGGAAGAGGTACATGGGCTGCCAGCGCGTGTTGTCCGTGGACCGGCTAGGCGTGTGTGCTTCAGAGGACTGAGCCGCGGGCAGGAAGTGGAGACTAAGTGGCAAACGGGCAACTGTGCTGAAGGAAGCCTTAGTCAGCTGAAGTCTGTTTGCGCTTGTTTTGATATATATACATGTGTGTGTGTGTGCGTGCGTTGTCCGTATCGGTCAGTACCGAGTGGTTAGCAAAGAGGCCGCCGCCGCTCCGCTGCATCGCTTTTTTCAACCCACTAGCTAAACACCCCGCGACACTCTCCGCCACCTCTCCCGCCCTCCTTCAAGCGGCCCCCCCCCCGGTCCCATCGCGTTGCTCTGGACATGCCGGCAGTCGATCCTTCGCCTCTTGCATCGTTGTACGATTTCCCCCTCGTCTCCCCCCATCCATCCATCCCCCCTCCCCGCGCCCGTGGGCTCCCTGGATCAGGTGGTTGAGGTGGCTCCGGATGAGGGTCGCGGCGGTTTTAAAATCGGGTGCTCCATCAAACTGGTGAACCAGGCCGGTGGGGAGGACCTGGACCCCACAAACACACGGTGCGACAGCGGAGTGGTCTGGGTGAAGGGAGGGAGTGAGGGAGGAAGGGGTACACTGATGGAAGGCACTGTAGGAGTCGTCGTCCGGTCGGTGAGGAGGACTTCGCGGTGGGATAGGATGCGGCTGTTTTGGCAGTCTGGACGGGGGAGATGGCGGGGGAGAGACGGGGGAGAGCACTCGTAGGCTTTGTGTTTCTTTGTGCCCCTTTGTATTCCTCCGTTTTATTCCTTTTTCCTTTGTGAGTCGAATCACAGCTTACCACCGTTAGCGGGGTGGTGTTTCGTTGTGGGGTGTGTTGCTCCCGCGCGGCCTTGTGTAGGCCGTTCCGGGCCCTTCACTATCCTGACCTGACGCTCTCCTGCTGCGACCCCGCCTTGGCCTTGGCCGCCTGTCCTGACGCTGCAGGTACCGGCCGCGTGATGCGGGCGGTCGGGGTCCTGGGGCTGCTGCTGGGGCCATTGGTTCCGGAGCGGGCGAGGTGGGGCGAGGTGAGGTCGGGTAGCGGGCCGAGTAGGGCTGAGGGGCCGATGGGGGCCCCGGGACTCACTCCACCAACAGGGACTGGGGTCGGATGCCGTGAAGGAGGGAAAGGAAGGAAGGATGAAACAGCTTTTAGTAAGTTTGAGGTTCCATTGCAGTACCGCAGTAAAGGGTTCCTCAGTCCTCAGTAATGCCTCCTTCCCTTTTTCCTCCTCCTCCCTCATCTTACGCTTGCGGCACACACACTTACACACACGCGCGCGCACGCACATGTGGGCCGTCAGGCGGCAAGATCGACTGGGGCCATCTGGCAGCGGACACCAAGCTGTACGTCAACGAGAAGGCGGCGGCGCAGTACAAGCTGTTGGAGGAGGAGGCGCCGCCACGACTCCCCGGGGCCCCGGGGGGATCGGGACCGGGGCCAGGATCGCTGCCGGGGTTGGGGGGAGGAGGAGGAGGTGAGCCTGGAACGTCAGTGGCTGCGTTTTGGGCAAGCTGTCCGTGCTGCACAAGGTCCTCTGTCTCCTACGCGATTCGAAGCAAGCACTAGGGTTTGGTGTTGGTGTTGGTGTTGATGCACCAATGGTTAATACTCGCTGAAAGCAGGGCAGGGCAGGGATCGGGCAGGCACGGTACGGGTCATCTTGAGTTCGGAGTTTCGGGAGCGTCCCTGAGGGGATTTCGCGATGTCGGATTGGAGTCCTGTTGCGGAGTACGGCAACAGGCAACGGTTGGTACGGCAACAGGAATTCCGGGGAAGAACTCCATCTTCGGGCACCCCCCCGTGCCCCAACCGACACCCCCAACACCGACTTTGTTTACCTTTATCCACTCAGCTCCGCCGACCAACTCCCCCAGCCACTACCACCCACCCACCCACCCACTACCGGCACTGCGCGCTGCAGTCCTTCCGCGACGGGAACATTGTTGAGGCAGCAGCAGCAGCACTAGGCAGATATGTACACACACACACGTGCATTGCCCCAAAGTGAAATTGTTGCTCCATGGACCGCCGTGCGCCATTAGGTGGTCCCCAAGGAACCCTAAACAAACCCGGTTCAGGTATTGGAAGTGTAACTCACTACCTTCACCCCCTTCTTTCGATAGCTTTTTTTCCTTCTTGACTTGGCATGTTATTTCCAAACCATCGCCACCCGTTTCCTGTATCCATCCATCCCTCCTGCCATCCCTCTATCCCTCCTGCCATTCGCACATGTTCATGTCTTACTTACGTTGTTGCCACGGTGTCCTCACCTCCTCGCCCTCACGCCCCTATCAGGCCCCCCTGGCTCGCACGCTCCTGGACCCATGGGTCGCGGACGGGGCATGGTGCTGCCGGCATGGATGACACAGGGCACCGCTGCCGGAGGCGGAGGCGGTGCTGGCGGCCCGGCAGCGCCCGGTTCCCTTCCGTCCAACCAGCTTCCGGCTTCGTCCAAGTTTGAGTTGGTCGGCGGGCGGGACCGTGATGTGGATCCAAGCAGCTTGTTGTTACAGGATTTTATGGAGTTTGCTGATGGTGGCCGTGGGAGAGGAGGAGCAGGAGGAGCAGGAGGAGCAGGTGGTGGTGGTGGTGGTGGTGGGACACGGATCAGCAGCATTGAGGAGGCGCTTGCGATCTTGGAAGCCCACGGCGGCAAGAAGGCCTTGAAGAAAGATAAAAAGGACAAGAAGAAGAAAAAGGAGAAAGACAAAGACAAAAAAGGCAAGAAGGATAGGAAAAGGAAGAAGAAGAAAAGCAGCAAGAAGTCGTCGGGCGGCGAACGGCAGCGAAGCGGCCACGGCAGCAGCAGCAGCAGCAGCAGTGACAGTGATAGTGGCAGCAGTAGTGGCGAGGAGGACGGCTCGAGGCGGTATCGCCGCTGAAAGCACGAATAAGCAAACCCGGGGCTAGCAGTAAAGGGCCCGTTCGTGGATTAGGGGCCTGTAGCCGCCACGTGCACACTTCTGAACCCGGTCCATGTGCGCATCTGTCTGTATGTGAGTAGTTTCGTATGCAGCATGGTGCGAGGTATGGTGATGATACCGAGGTAGGTGGTTCGTTTGTTGGTTCCTTTGTTTTCTTTTCCTTGGGCCCCAGCGCCTGCCTGAAAGTGTGTTTGTCAGTCTGTGATGGCTCTCATGCAGTGTGGCCTGACTGACTGTTGCTGACTAGCTCCCTACGACTCCCCCGATTTCGAAATGGAAGTCAGTGCAACTGGAAGTTCTGTTTGGGTTGTCATTTGCTTACGAACTACGACTATTTTCTCTCGTTCTGTGTTCATAGGGGTTTTGGATGGCTTTGCCTTTCCATTTGCAAATGCCGCAAAATGGTCCCCGGAAAGCAAGAAGGTTCATCATCATGCGTCTAAGCGTCCTTGATGTTGATGAAAGCCTTCTGACGCGCGCTCGACGGATACCATAGTAGCTTTGACGTGCAGCTACTGTGACGCCTGTGTATTCGCGAATCACGAATTTGCATCCCCAGGTTTTGTTTTACCGCGGGTTTCCGTACTCGTACAATATAGGCAATGACGGCGTTTCCATCAAAACCACACATGGCATGACGTCCTTGCGGCGTATGTGACTTCATGTGACTGCATCGGCCATTTCTGGTGGGCGAGAGAGTGGAGTGTGAGGGCTCGGTGCTTCAGACACTCTTCCTGTTGCCTAACCAAGCAAACCCCACCGAGTCGGACGCATATGCGCACAATTGAAGCAGCCTCGGCAGGTATTGAGGCAACGTGCCACCGCCGTGTCTCGTGCTTCCGCCGTGTTTTGCCACCTTGTTCAGGAAGGCTACCGTACCAATTACGTATGACAATATTTGCTGGCGGTGTGGATTAGCCATGTCGGTGACGCTCGGGTCGTTTGGGTATACTGGCGACGTAGGAAAACCGAACTTCGAACTGGGTAACAATGGACTTGCAAGCGTGAAGCCTCCGCCCCTTCTCTGCTCGCTCCCTCCTACCTAGACATCACCGTCGCACCTCTCTATGGGAATGGGACTACCGAACTTGGCCTACGGAAAGCCCTACCCGCTCACGGGCGAAAAGTATTTGGCTGAGTTGGGGGTAAAGGGGTGGACTTGGCGAGCTGTGTTTTACCGTGGCGTCGGATCTGGCTGGCATGTGGGCTGAGAGATGGCAGCCACCGCAGAGCGCCTTCCCCAGCGCCAAAAGGTTTGGAGGACAAGTGTTCAGGAATGTGGCGCAACGTCTGGCTTGTAAGTAATCGTGCAGGGACTTAGTGACTTCGTATGGCATAATGGGTCGTATCGTTAGCTAGGTCGTGACTTTGCATTATGTATTAATGCTTTGAATTGTACGGCATGTTCGCCCGTTTTCGGCACGGTATTCAGGCACGGATTAGTTCACACCTGGTCTTGTCGGCTGAGCCGAGTAAGGTGATCGGCGAGTCAACTTGCAGTGGTGATTGACACGACGCTTCCTGGGACTGGCCCACAGGATCTCGCGTCGCAGCAGGCCATGCTCTGTTAGCTCCTTGACAGGCGACAGCAGCCTCAACTGGCTGTCTGCGTCGGAGACTGTTTCGAGCTGGCTTGTTTTTCAAGGCCAACCACGTATACAGCGTATGTCACCTACTGCAGTTTTCATAATCCGGAGGATACTGAAGTTTCCCGATTGACCGCACCTCGTGCTGCGTTGTTCAGCTCCGGCGGGCAAAGAGTAAGGTGAAGCAACAATTACCAGCAAGACATTCGACGTGCAAAGCCATTATAATTGCGACGGCTCCAGGAAAATCTGTCACACATTCCTTCAGTCGTGATACGTGCGGGTCCATGGTTCCAAGTGCTGCCGTCAGCGGCGTTATCGCAGCTGCCGCCTCGACCGCGGCCGCCGCACCCAAGCGCGACCCTGACTCGGCTGTGGCTCTGCTTCACGCCGCGGGTGACGACCAGGAGGCTCTCGCCGAGGCGATTGCTGAGGCGGCCTTCCTGGACACCACACCCGGGGACCACCGGCAGAAGCTACGGGGTGAGGGCTCCCGGACCTGCCCGGAGAGGGTAGCCGGTGCCTTCCACCGGGTATCAATTTCTCTAGGGGAGCAACTAAAGCTAAAATCCTTCCTGGACGGCGCCTTTTTGAGCGTTGAATGAAAGTCCTGTTGCCTTATTTGACGCGGTCCCGTCGTATGGGTTGCTCACATGGATGCAAGAGCCCTCAAATACAAAATGCACTTAGTGCTTCTTGCGCCGAACGTGACCGAGGGGAGCAACTAAAGCTAAAATCCTAGGGGAGCAACTAAAGCTCTCTTCTCTAGGGGAGCAACTAAAGCTAAAATCCTTCCTGGACGGCGCCTTTTTGAGCGTTGAATGAAAGTCCTGTTGCCTTATTTGACGCGGTCCCGTCGTATGGGTTGCTCACATGGATGCAAGAGCCCTCAAATACAAAATGCACTTAGTGCTTCTTGCGCCGAACGTGACCGAGGGGCCCGCTTCCAAGGCCTCCAGCACTCACACGTCCTGGCAACGGCGTGAGAATTGACTATCCAGGTTCTGTTGTGCTGCTGTGTGACAGCGGCGCGCGCGCGACTGCGGCAGCTCAATGCGGCGGCGGCCAAGGCTGACAGCGCCGACCGCTCACCACACGCCAAGGCTGAATACACTGCTGAAGACTTCGAGCGCCTGACGGGTGGGTAGTGGCGGGGAGTCGATTGTTGAAATGCTGCCCACTGCGGCCGACAGCCGATGGTACAGAACAGCAACGGTAACAGTGCACGCGCCCCCCGTATCATAGCGCAGGAGAGCGAGCATTAAAAGCTGACCTATTCGCGAAGCCGCTCCACTTCCGCATTGTGAATCAATTGCACGCCACGACACAAGGGGTCGGCCACACGGACGGGAAACCATCGATTGCTCCATTTCCAGCAATGCAGAGGTCGCGTATGCGTGCCGCTGCTACCTTTCCGGCAATGGCACGGGTTCCGAATCCACCCCACCCCACCCCACCCCACCACCCCGATACCCTTCCCTTCACCCAGGCCAATACGAAAAGCTCAATTGGCGCATGGTCAGTAAGCCCGGAGGTGCCACCGTCAAGCCCGATGACTTCTATCGTCTCTACGCGCTTCACATGCAGGTTTGTTCTTACGACTGCCTGGCTAGCTGTGCGGGCAGCCACCCCCTCCTGCCGCCTCCCTTTCAAATCCAGCAAACGCTTGTGGAGGGAGATATGACGGGCAGCAAAAGGGAGTAGGCCAGGAAGATGGGCGACAGCAGCAGCTGGTATGAGCAAGCCACACGTGTTCATTGAGCCGCAGGATACCTTTTAAGCCAAACTCTTCTACACCCCCTGACGCTGCGCGCTGCCCAACCATCCCAGCCCTTCCCCTTACCCCGCACCTTAGCGTTTGGCGCTGCCGCCATCAGCACCCTTAGCCGGCCACCACATCACACGTCCTGCCAGCCCTTGCCCCCTCCCTCCGAAATTCCCAACCCGCGGACCGTCAGGCCACCCAGGGCGACAACGCCACCGAGCGGCCCATGTGGGCGGAGCGGGGGGGACTGGACTTCGAGGGCCGCGCACGCTGGGACGCCTGGTCCGCACTGCGCGGCACGGACCCTGCCAAGGCGCAACTGCGTTTCGTGAAGCTGTTTCATGAGTTCAGCCCGGCGGCGCTGTACAAGGACACGCGAGGCGCCGTGCTCGCGGCGGGAGGACAGTAACAAGAGTGGGGTTTTAGAGCAGGTCGAGGCCTGTTAGGTGGTGGAGAGAAGATGACTCGGTCCGCAGGTGTGTTTGTTGGGACACACACGTGAAAAGGGAGGCGGAGGCAAATGCACGGGAAAGGAGCTGGCACAGGTGTGGAGTTGGGACCCTCAACTGGCAAGGTCGCGGCGTTGTGTAAAAATCGGCTATACACTCGGATAGGGATAGTGTAGTGCAAGTGGGACGTTTCGTTGTTGCAACTAAGGCTGCCATCCGACGTATTCCTCTGCTGGTCTCAGCTTTTGCTGCGAGTGACACACACGTGATTCTGGTAATATATTGCAAATCTAAGGGCTGACTTTCGCTTGACGCGACGATGTGACGATCAAAAGCCTTTCCGCCCTTGTGCCTCACCGTCCCTATACGCAGCCGACACGTAAAGGGAAAGGAACACGCTGCGATGCACGTATTCCTCAAAACCTAGAGCATGCAGTCACGTGCCATAAACACACACACATATATATATATATATATACGCCTCATAACCCAAGAGTCTCATGCACAATGCACAGTATCAAAACTCCCCATCAAGACATATTCCCCTGGACATATTCTCCGCTCACTGTCCACTACCGTCATCGCAGCGTGCGAGTGCTCTGGCCCCATGATGTGTGTTTCTTCTCCCCATTCCCTCCACGTGCCGGAACAATCAATGGCATCCGGCACGCGTTTATGTCACGTGCGGTTTGCTGTGCACGCAAACACACAAACAGAGGCTAGGTACATGTCGCGATGGTGCGTTGCCAGCCAGTCAGAAAGCACTAAACCACACCACAGGAGAAGTGTGACACCCCGGCTGAGTGCAGTTCCTAAAGGTGATTGTTACGGAGGACTGCCTAGAAGGTATAGAGCCCCGTTCCTTTCGAACCGCGTGGGCCGTTGCCTGCGCCCAGATCTTTCCACATAAGACAAAAGCGCCCCGTGCGCCTCGAAACACAGAGCCACAGCCGCAGTCCAGCCCCTTGAGTCTAACAGCCCCCCAATCCAGTCAACCAGTGCCCTCCAATCTTGTAGACGGCGCTCTAATTCCCTAATTGCAGCCAACAGTCCGCCTAAACCCACCCGAGCCAGCACCCTATGTGAGCCTAGCCGCCATATCCCCGACACCCTTTCCCTTTCACCTCCTCCTTTTCCAGAGGCTCCCCTCTTCCCCCTCCTCCTGCCTCCCTTCCTCCCTTCGTCTCTGCCTCCTATGCCTCCCCAACCCCAGCACCGACACCCGCTCCTTAAATGTCCGCCAGTGTTTGCGGTCGCTGGTAGTCCCAAATGAAGATGCCGCCCTCAGTGCCCACAGACACGATACGCTGCTTGTCCGGCGTCACACCGATGCCAGACACCGCACCGCTGTGCGCTACACCCACAAAGTAGCAGTGCCCCTCATCATAGCCCCACAGCTTGACCAGCTTGTCGCCGCCGCCGCTGACAATGGCCTCGCCGTCGCGGTCCACAGCCAGCGCGTTGACCTCATCACCGTCGCTGCCGTCAATGATGCGGATGGCGTTGCCGTCGTAGGCGTCCCAATACGTGATCTGCGCAATAGGTGGTGGTGCGTGGCAGTGGGCGGGGCCCGGCGGGATGCGGTGTGGTTAGCCAGGCACGTGAAAGGTGTATCTGTGTTGTTGGCATTTTGGCTCATGATTGCTTGCTTTCCTTTCCTTTGCTATTAAACCGTTCGTTCTTGGCACTGGAACACACTCGCGACAATTGAAACTGAACCTCCATTTTCGTTCGTTCTGTGCGTACACCTCTCCTGCCTTCGAGTTCATTCCCCTTGGCCTACCAAGCCACTATCAAGCTTTCCCCGCTACCTTTCGGTCGGTGCCCGTCGTGACCAGCTGCGACTCGTCTGGATGGTAGACCACGCTCTTGAAAAAGGTGTTGGAGAAGAGGCTGGTGCGGCGCTTGTACGTGTTCAGGTCCCAGATGATGCACGAGCCATCCGAGGAGGCAGACACGCACTCGTCATCGGCGGCCTTGACGCGGATGCAGTTGACCGGCCCCTTGTGATCCTTCATGGAAGCCTCCAAAGTCTAAAGGGCATTGGGATAGCGGATGGGGGATGGCTAGAGTAAAATACACAGATACCGGCAAAAAGCAAAATGGTGATCACTGACGCTATGGGGCGTTCTTTTAGAGTTTTAAGAAGCACCATGAAGGCCCAGCCAAGCCAAGTCCAGCCAAACCGAAATCAGTCCATTCATGGAAATACGCACGAGGTCCTTCTCCCCCCGCGGATGCGGGTGATGATGATGACTGGGTGACACAGGGCTCGATGCGCCCCGGCCGGAGCTCATCATCTTGTCTCGCAACCACCCTCTGTCCAGTTCTTCCTGGCCCTGTCCCAGGCCGCTGAAGGCACCCCACCCACCCTACGGAGGGGGCCCTACGGGGTAAGAGCAGCCCGGCCCGGGGAGACCCCCTGCTGCCAGCCCCGCTCACCTGGGAGGTGCGGCCCAGCCGCCACACTCGCACCATGCCCTCCTCGCCGCCGCTAATGATCTTGGAGCTGTCCGAGGTGGACGCGATGGCCGTGACGGCCTTTTGGTGCGCGTCGTTGATGGTGAAGATGACCTTGCCGGATTGGGGCCCAAACGCGCGGATGCGACCGTCGGACCAACCCGACAAGATGGCGGACCCATCCTGTGGATGAGGCGGGTGTGTGTGTGGGGGGGGGGGCAGCGGAAGCGGCGTGAGGCGGCAGTGCAGCGACGGCGTCGGCCAAGACTCATCTCGAGGCTGAGCAAGCGCACATTGGGCAGGTTCAACATTGGACCCGGCGCCGTATGTATAAGTCCACTGTGACGAACTTGTCGAGACCCTTATGTGTTCGGGCACTTTAAAAACCTTGTACCCTGCCCCGCCCCACAGAGCAGCCCCCCAGGCCCACACAACCGCAGTCCAATCCCGATACCAGCTCTCTGCTGCGCTCGTCCGCAGCCCCGGCCTCTTGAGCAAACCCACATCCAACCCAACCCACCCACCATCCCATCCTCCCGCACGCACACATCCAGCCAGCCAGCCACAGCCACCAAATTGTCTTTTTCAACCGGTCCCCTACCCACCGTTGTGAAGGCGATGCAGTGGCACTCCAGGTTGGGCACCGCAATACGCAGCAGCTCGCGGCACGTGGACAGGTGCCACAGCCGGATGAAGCCCGTGCCGCAGGTGGCGAACACCTCAGAATACAAGTGCGGGAAGGCAAGGCCGTTGATCTTCTCAGCGTGGGCGGTTTGGATGAGCTCCTCCTTCAACCTGAGCCGAGAAGGGGAGGGAGCGGCGCGGGGAACGGAGGGTTTAAGCACCCTATAACCCCTACTAGCCCTGTGTGTCACACGTGCCCGGCTGGTCGGTCCTCGCTACCGAGCAGCAGCCGCGCGGGAGGACACTTCTGGGTGGACGGGGCCCCGTGCTTCGGCGACACTGCCATCAGCGCACCGCCGCAAACATTCCTCCTGCCGCGCCAATATTCCTCTTCCGCTCCAACGCCCTTCCCAGGCAGTCTCCTCCCCGGACAGCGCGCATTATTCTGCCTCGCGGTGTTTACATACTTACCTTTGTAAACCCGACAATGTGTGGTTTGCGGCGACCAGGTTTGTGTCGAAGGAAACGCACGACCCGGGACATGTCACGAGGGAGCGGATCCCTGGTGCGCGGGCCCTTCTTGGTGCCGTTGGTGCTGACTATCCCAACTATTCAAGAATGACAACGGCGGGTCCCAAGGTCTGAGCTACCCATCTACCCACTCACCCGCACCCTTCCTGCTCCGTCCACAACCCCCCGTCCTTGTGGCCCCGTGTGGCCCCATTCAGCAACCCCCTGTGGAAACCTACCATGCACCTACCATGCCCACTCTCCTTACCCTTGGCCCCCTTTCTTGGCTGCATAACCCCTCCAAAGTGGACTGTGACCCAGGGCCCATGTTTCCCCTCCACCAGTCCCCACCTGCCCGAGCCCGGTTCGTAGGTGACCTTGTAGATGTTGCACATGGCGGTGCCCACATAGAATGTGAAGGAGCGGCTGCTGACGTCCGCCAGGCTGATGGAGGTGACGGCGCCCTCCACCCGGGTGGCCGCCACGGCGGGCATCTTGCGGAGGAGCTTGGGGTTTGTGGAGGACGGCTCAGGTACCGTGCGGAGCACCTGTCAGGTTAGCGAGTGGAGGGGGAGGTGCAGGATGCGGCCCGAGGCGTGAAGGAGTTGGTCAGCAGGAGGGGGGGAGGACAGGTACTAATGTATTATTGCTCGTCGTGTTCGTTCTCTCTGGCAAATGACTGCTGCCCCCCAACTTCCGTTTCTACCCTCGGTCTCTCAACCCCCGGCGGTAGTGGGCGGCAGTGCGCCACGTCCAGGCTGTCTGCCTGTCTGCACCCCCCGCCCTGCCTCCCTGTCGCTTCTGCCTCTTTTCACTCCGGGTCATAGACGACACGCAACCTGAGGAGGGGATTAAGCCCTCCCTAGAACTTTACAAAACATATCATGTTCCCCAATGCTGTGTTTGTGTTCAAGCCACCAGGTGCTTTTGCTGAATGACGAAGCTGGACGAACGGAAGGGGACGCACAGCAGACCTCCCTCCTCCCTGCCCCCTCACTCCCAAAAGGGGCCACAGGGATCCCAGTAGAGGCGCCACATCGCCCTGATTGCGCCACCACCACCTCCAGGTGGATGAACGGATGGATGGATGGATTGATGATGCATCGTTGCATCCATACGCTGGTCGGTCCCTTGGCTGGTATGGACGTGCATGTGGCAGGTGCGGTGGCAGGTTCGCTAATCCTGCTAATCCTGCTTTGGTTACCCCGCTGCTGCTCCAGTTGCGGTGACTCCTGCTCCTACACGTATTCTGTTCTGCTAGTGGTTCTGATGCTGCATCCAGTTCAGCATAAGGAGCCTATACTTGGATGGGAGTTGTTGAAGTAGAACAGGGGTGGTGCTGGGTGGTGCAATGAAATGCAGGCCACAGGGCCACATCGTCTTCCCGGCCAGCTCAAGCTCAGGCTACGGCCTGCCTTCCTTGTCGCCTCCCTCCTTTCTTCTCTTCCCCCTTCCTTTCCCTTCCCATCCCCCACCGCCGCCGGGGGGCTGTGAATCTGTGGCCGGCGCCGGCAAACCCTAGAATCACACCGGCATCCAGGCTAGGGTGCCGAATCCATCGCGATCCCCGAACCTCACGCAAGAACCCCCTGTCTGCCAGCACATCCGCTTCCTCCAATTCCGCACCCGTACCAGCGTTCGCGATTGAGTAGTGTCTGGGTTCGGCAGTCTCCCCTTCCCATAGCCCCTACGCACCCCTTCCCATGGCGCCCACCTGCAAGGACCCGTCGCCACCTCCCACCAACAGGTCCCCGGTGGGCACCTCGCACGAGGCGGTGACCCCCAGCTGCACGTTGCCCTTCGCAGGCCCTGTGTTCTTGAACAGCACGCGATCCAGAGCAATCTGAGCGGGGATAGGGGCAACCGAGGTTGTGGGCATGTTGAGAATGGGGTAGAGGCTCCCTAAGCCCCGGCGTGCTGCACGCTTCCCTACGTTACATGAGATTTCAAAAGGTGTTGAGGTTCGGAACATCCTTTGCTTTTAATCCTGTGAAAAGGCTGGCCAAGGCCATGACGTAACATTGCTGATATGAAGACCGCAGACCACAGATGGCGCCGCACTGAGGCTGCCGTACCTGGAGTACGTCGCCTGTCGTGGTGCCGCAGTGCACACACTGGTCGTTGATGTCAATGGAGATGGTTTTAAAGATACGCTTGAGAGTGCCCAGGCTGGCGTCCTGCGGACGGAGCTTGTTGTTGACCGAGTCATACGTCCAGACGTTGAGGTTGAAGTTCCCTGCCGTGACGAGCTTATCGTTGCTGTTGTTGAAGAACTTGACACAGGTGGTGAAGTTGGTGGCTGTGGGGCTTCCGCAAATAGCATTCCCACTTTGTACATCCCAGAGCACCTGTGCGTGTTTAAGTGAGAGCGGGTCGGAGTGGCACGGAGCTCCGGGCGCGCATGTGCGGGCGCATGTGCAGGTTGTGTCAGCCGCTCACCAGTGCGTTATCATCCTGGCCTCCCAGGGATGCGAGATAACGTTCGTCGCATGAGAAATCTAGCGCTTGGACCTTGACCTGCAGCCCGGGCGAGCAAAGACCGTCAAGCGGTACCATCTGAAGCAGATCGTCAGCGACGGTACGCTCCGCACCTTATGCAGCGCCATACGGTGCAAGAGCTGCTTTGACTCCAGGTCCCAAATGATGATATCAGCTGTAAATCCCATGTAAGTTATTTGACCAGTCGCTAGGTACTTGCCCGAGCGCGACAAGGCCAGGCAGGAAACCTGCGAGAGCAGCGGGGCGCGGCCGCAGGTGAAGACCCTTCCATGCCGTTTTAAGAGCTGGGTAATCATGTGTGCACCTTATCGCTATGCCCCTGTAAGAACTCTTGAGACCGGGGGTCTGTTCGGTCGCGTAGAACAACGGTGCTGCCAAGTGGGTATATAAGGGTGCGCCCGTCAGGGTGCACAATAAGGCCATTATCTATTTGTCCGCCAAAGCCTATTACAGAGTTGAGAACTAGTGGCTCAGCCATTCTTGTCCCGGTGACTGGCAAAAGGCGTTGTCAATTCTATTAGTTTGGCAGCAACGGAGCTGTAACTGAGGGTAAATTCGACGCTGGCTATGCTCCAGTGAAATAACAGTGTTCAGCTATGGCAGAGGGCGGTATTGGTCCCTAAGTCTTGTAAGACCCTGCCGTACTCGTATCGGTTCAAGACGCAAAGCCTCGTATATACCATACGTAACCTTCTTTAGGTAATGGTCAACCTCAGAGCCTCTCTCTATCTTTCCAGGGCCTCGAAAGAGTTTGGGTTCTGGGTCCATCATAAACCCGTCAAGCATGTTCATGGCTCCGCCATATCTATTTAGGCAGGACGTTCAGGATGGTGTAAAGTTTTGAGTACTGCCGCTAACAGCGATGCGCGAGATGTAATGGCGCTGCGCAGTGGCAGATGTTTTGGTGCTCTACCCTTGAGGATTGACTCCAAGAACGCAAATTAAGGAACGGTAAAGCGATGGTTGCAACGGCTGCGAGTCGAGAACTTAGGGTAGGAGACTGCCATGTCTAGCCCTCCAAAGCGTTGCGCTCCTGCGCCTGCACCTACGTAGGTGACCATCTTGCGATATGACTTGGCACCTCTACGATGCCATTACACTGTTGTAGGGCACTTTGTTCCGCAAAGCCTCTGGGGGTTACCTGTGTACACCCAGGACATAATCCGCAATTTAACTCCCACTCCCACTCCCACCCCCGCCACTCACCTACTCCCATTCCCAGAGCACTCTCCGTAGGTGCCTGTGTCCCATTATTCATGGGGTCATATGCAGAAATCCAGGGGGATATCAAAAAATTCATGTAAAAAATCTTCTCTTCAACCGCAGCAGCCAATCCAACCCAACGCCACGCCACGATGTGCAATGTGCGAGCACACAGCCGGCTGGCAACGCCCCACAACAACACACGCCAATATCTTCACAAACGTCTTAACCACGGTTCGGTGCCCAAGGGGCACGACAGGCGGCCGGCAGCGGGCAGCTTAGGAATTAAGGAGGGCGCACTGGTGATATACTTGAAGCACAAGACCAGCTAGTATGAGAGGCGCGCCTGGCGCTCCTCTTCTAAAGTTTGCGTTACCCGATCACCTTGAAGCCTACAGGTTGCTCTGAGGACCTGGAGGATTGAGATCCTCGCGTCCAAACCGGCCAGCACCCAATTAGTCCCCAAGGGCAGCCACGCAAGCGCACCGTAGCACCACAACACCACATTACCCTGCAGGCATACACCGCAACGAGCTTTCCTTCTACAGAGCCAGCACCCAAACCGCTTACGTCCTTACTCGCAAGCTGCTCCACCTCTTTACTGCCCCCATTGCTTCGCCCCCTAACAGGGGCTTGTTCACTGTCTCTACGGCTGCTACCTTCAGCTCCCCATCTCCTTCCAGCCCAAGCCTTCACTTCCCCCGCTTATCCACTCATCCGCCCTTCACTCTATCCCTTCCCTCGGAAAATCTCCCCGTCCCCGCTTCACATCCTCTTGGTGGCCTCCAGACAGTGCAACAGAATGCCGTTCTGTGCGTGCATGCGGTTCTCCGCCTCCTGAAACACCACCGACACGGGGGACTCCATGACGCCGTCGGTGGTCTCCAGCCCGCGCTCTGCCGGCAGGCAGTGCATGAACAGCGCCTGGCGACCCGCCAGCGCCATTAGCGATTCGTTCACCTGTGAGAGGGAGAGATGGTGTGTGTGTGTGTGTGTGTGTGTGTGGCGGATGGCCGGGTTCACATGGCGCAGGGAGTAGTGGTTGAGAGCGCGTGCGTGTGTGCTTCACGTCCAGCGCTGGACTAGCAGGCACGTGCAAAAATGCAGATGTTTGCATGAGAGCTTGGAAGTCCCATGCACGGATGCCAACCCCATGTAGTGTATCCCTCCAACATGTACCTCTGCCGGTCCGCTCCTGACCAAGAACGTCATGCCGTCCGCGGCCCCTAGGCTGCGAGGGGGCCGTGGCTTACCTGGTATGGCGCGAAGTCAACCTTCCGTGTGTCTATCGTCTCCTTTTGGCCCATCGAGGCCCACACGTCCGTGTAGATGACGTCCGCACCCTTGACTGCATTAATGTCGCTGGTGACGCTGATGCTGGAGATGCCTGCTGCCTTAGCTCCCTCCACTGTACTTGGGCAGGGTTCGTATCCCGGCGGACATACGCACACGAATTCGAACGACAGGCGCATGGCCAGGCGCAACCAAGAGTGGACGATATTGTTACCGTCACCCACATAAACCACTTTTGTGCCCTCAATGCGACCTTTGCGCTCCAGGAGTGTGAGCGCGTCGGCCATAATTTGGCAGGGGTGGTTGTAATCCGTGAGGCCGTTAATCACCGGTACCGACGAGTACTGTGCCAACTCCAGCAGATCGGAATGGGCAAAAAGACGGGCCATGATGACATCGTTGTAGCCGCTGAGCACGCGCGCGATGTCCTTTGTGGGTTCGCGTTTCCCAAGCTGAATGGTGTTGGGGTCCAAGTACAGCGCATGTCCTCCCAGTCGGAAGAAGCCCTGCAGTTCAGCATGTCGACTACTATCATACCATCATAGTTCAACGCTGCAGCACGCGGCGGCAGCACATCACGACAATCAAACTGACCCCACGACTTTACAAAGACGCAACGCTGGGCCACATACCGTCTCAAATGATACACGCGTACGTGCCGAAGGCTTAGTGAATATCATAGCCATTGTTTGTCCAGCAAAAGGCTTGAACGACTCGTCACGTGTATAGAATTTCGCCTTGCAGAGCTTTGCCTTCTCCAACATGTCAAGCAGCTCCTCTCTCGTAAAATCATCGAGATGAAGGAAATGCTTGCCTCTCTTGGGTGGCGCAATTGTCTTAGCACTATACCAGTAGGGCTGCGTCGACTGCGCAGCGACCACGTGCAGAGCACGCTGGCGTCGGCATGGACTGGGCCGAGCAATAGATGACCGTGGCACACGCGACGACGTGCTCGCGCTGGACGCTGTCTCGCTGCGGTGCAGAGAGGCTTGCATGGTTCCGAGTAACGATCAAACGTCTTATGGAGCCTTCGGTGATAAAAAAGAGACTATGTAATGAACTGTATCAATTGAGCCGATCAAGCGATATCCGATTGCGACGTCAGGTTTGTCCCGTGACGACCGCCCTGAAACCAGCTCCACTTTTTTGTGCAGACCTTGTTACCTTGGCAGGCTTGAGACGCAAAATGAGACGCAACAGTTGAACTTTCATTTCCCTTATTGTTCAGATATACATAAACACTGTCATCACTGATAACCGTGAACGCTATTATAGCTATTATAATAATAGCGTGAATAATACAGACTCTTCACCTCTAACAACGCTGATCAGAATTCGTTGGTTAGAAAATTCTGTCAGCCAGACTCTTTTCCGCTGTTCTCTCGAGAGACCTTCCCCCTGTCGCAATTCTACGTTTTTCGAAGTCTCCAGCATGCATGACGCTACTGACAAAGAGTCGTCCATTACATAATACTACCAGGTACACCTCAGGCTTGCTAACGGCATGATGAACGTTTGTGTATGAAACACCTTTCTGCGCGCTGTGACGTGACCCAAGGGTCAGTCAGCCATATTTAGCTTCCCAGTCCTCCGCCAGTCCTCACCATCTTAGTTACAATTAAAGGCGTCTTCATGCGTTGTCCCCGAGGTCCAACCCACAGATTATTTCGTATCGTACGGATTGCTACGAGAGGTCCCGTATTGATGCATTCCCTGACGGCTATACTTTTTTCGAAAGCATGTTTGAGAGGGTCACCGTGAAATTGCGCAGATGTTCATACCGTAAGCGGCTTACTAACCAGTGGGCTGCAAGTGTGCAACGGCCTAACGAGCGCCAAACGCACAACACTGAGGGCCTTATACGGCAAAGCATGCTAGCCCCACTGACGATATAACCTCAGCAGGCACGCAACTGGAGCCAGAAATGTCATAAAACATTAAAGTTGCTGGTTGTCCGGCCCACGGCAAACTTGTTTGTCACGGGTGTGACCTCAAGGATGGTTATTGGATAAGGACTCGACTTCGGAGCGCGACTTCTACCTCCAAAAATATACAGAAGCCTTGATTAGGTCCGAACGCACCACCTGAAGAGACCTGCAATGCAAAAAGTTGGTGTTGTCTGGATGTAAGAGATAGGTCGGTAGGAACGGCCTGCCGTGCATTAACGGCCTGCGGTTGTTAGTGCTGATCTAGCGGGCACCAGTGTTATTTT